CCGACCTTTGAGCTTTCAAAGTACCTGGCTTCCGTACTGAAGCACCTTGCGAATGAATCCAAATATTCTGTCACGAATGCTAAACAGTTTGCAGAGTTTATAAGTAGCCAGGAGGTGGCCGAAGAGGAACTGGACGTTGCGTCGTTTGACGTGATTTCACTCTTCACCTCCATACCGATCGTCATGGCTATAGACATTGTTCAGAGAAAACTCGAGGGATCTGATGATTGGAAAAATCACGCGTAGTTGACCAAAGACTAACTCCTGGACTTACTCTCCTGTCTTTCACATAACAGCTATTTCATATTTGAGGGAACCCAATACCATCAGGTATCGGGGTGTGCCATGGGATCTCCAGTCAGTGCGATCATCGCAGAGCCAGCTCTAATGCAAGAAGTTGAGGAGAAAGCAATAGAAACTTCGCCCGTCAAACCAAAATGGTGGCTCCGCTATATCGACGATTCGAACGCGTACATCAAGAAAGATGGTGTTGAGGTTTTTTTACGGTCACTTAAACTCGTTAAATACCAATATTCAGTTTACAGTTGAGATGCCTACAACAACCATGGGCAAGAAGAGCATAGCCTTTCTGGACACTAACAACACTGTGAATGAAGACGGGAAGATCGAGGTTGGTGTAAACCGCAAGGCCACACATACGAGCAAGTATTCAGATTTCCATTCTCACAGCCCAGCGCAAAGCAAAAGAGTTGTTATTATAAGACCTTAATGGACCGCGCTAAATGCATTCCATCAACAACTGCGCAAAGACAGGGAGAGAAACGACGTGTTATCAACGACCTAAAAGCTAATGGCTATCCTGAAAACTTCATTAAATTGGTCGATCAACCAAACAACGCACAGCCAAAGCCTCCGCAGAACCCAAAAGCATATGCGTCGATTCCATCTGTCAGACGGGTATCAGAGTGAATTAGACGGATTTTGAACCACGAAAACATGAAGACAACTTTTAAACCACCAAAAACGTTGGGTAATGTTTTCAAGAAATCCAAGGACCGGTCGACAAAAGAACAGTTGAAAGGAATCGTGTACAAAGTGAGTTGCAGAACGTGCCCATTTAGATATATTAGAGAGAGAGAAAGAAGTTGGAAGTCTCGGGGGTCTGAACACAAGCCTGGAACGAATGGGAATGTCGGCTCCGCGGTAAAACAGCATGCCGAAACCACTGGCCACGACATACACCCTAATTATGCGAGCATTTTGGAAACAGGCGTGAGACAAAAGGACAAAAGGCTTTTCTTAGAGTCATTACATTCATTCCTGGACAAGAACTCTGTTCATGAAAGAGCACCCTTCCCAAGGGTTTATGCATCACTGGTTTCCTCCCTAAGGGGCAACGAACAGTGACGTCTTAGCTACATGTTTGCTTTTCGTGGCTCTTGCATAGTACATTTCTCTGAAGACGACCGCAGAAGGCGGTCGAAAATTCAGTTTTGACGTTTTTTTAGATCTGTTTTAAAGTCCTTTTTTATATTTTAATCATGGACACAGATCGCTCCAACAGTTTTATTGTCTTTATATGCTTCCCCCTATTATTCCAAATTTCCTTTGAAGTTAGCATCTTCGAAAGGAATCGGGAAAATTTCTAGATCAACAAACTACAGTAATTCTGCATGGTTCACTTTTCAAACGTCACGAGTGAACTTTTGTCTGCTTTGAAGGACCGATAACAATACATTACAAGAATACATGTTCAATACTGGTTTATTAGCTGGCTGGGTGAATCGAAGATATGGGCCAAAAAGAGTCGGCCCCATTTTCGGTTGAACGATATAACGCGTTGTGTCCTGAAGAATGGTTGAACCTTCTGCGCTTTACTCGAGCGGGAAAAGGCAATTGGGTCCTGACAACCTACTCTATTAAGAACGCCCGGATTCGCCTCTGCTAGTACAGAAGGTTAGAGCACATGTAACTGAATTAAGTACTACAGAGGCCTTTTGGCTGCAGTGCGTAAGAAATGAAACTGTTTACAAGAAAACTACTTTAACATGAAGTTCAACTAAAATGATATAATGAGGCCCTGATCTCAACGAAACCTACTCTAGTAACCCAGACAACGTTTCATTTTAATAGTTATGAGCATATTGGTAAAAGGAAGATAAGTTAATAATATTCAGTCATTCTTGATACTTTTTAGATTGCATCTCATACTAACGACAACTGTCCGCTGTCCATGGTTTCCTGTCCGTATGCTCAGATGGGCTGCAATGCAAAGGTAATAAGAAGTAATTTAAGAAGGAAATACTAGTTCTGTCTGTAATAATGGCACGGTCAGAGTTATAGAAATCGATTTGTTAATCACGAAGTGTATGATTTATAAGGGTTTCTAATAGTAACTGGACAGACTCATGGACGGATCCAGGGGAGGGATGGCTGGTACCTGGGATTTGCAGAATCAATGGGCATGTTCCAAAATCTTGCAATTTTAGAATTGGAACCTAAATGAAAACCGTTTGACTAGAAATACTAGCAATACCACACATTAGAAATTACAACGACGTACCTATCCAGAGAGTTTGCCGGTATTTCTGCCGTAATGTTCACAACCTTTTTCAATTTTTCTGTTTCGTTCCTCCAAAAAGGGATGACTAGCCACCCAATTCACCCCCACCCCCTAGATCCTCTCCCTCGGACTGAAGAACAATTCTTACCGGTATCACTGAGTTTATCTGTGAAGGTTAAGAAGAGGAGTTTTATTGAAATTCAATAATTTTAGGTTTTTAATTTATTATATTGTATATTTGTATTCACAGTATTGTTCATTTTTCATTAGGTTCGTAATTTTATTTTCCGAAGGTCGCGAGTTTATTAGCCTTTGGTTATTAAGTGTTAACCCTCCCTAAATAAAGTCTTTATTATTATTATTATTATTATTATTATTATTATTATNGACTTGCTTCTACGTACCTATCCAGAGAGTTTGCCGGTATTTCTGCCGTCATGTTCACAACCTTTTTCAATTTTTCTGTTTCGTTCCTCCAAAAAGGGATAACTAGCCACCCAATTCACCCCCACCCCCTAAATCCTCTCCGTCGGACTGAAGAACAATTCTTACCGGTCTCACTGAGTTTATCTGTGAAGGTTAAGAAGAAGAGTTTTATTGAAATTCAATAATTTTAGGTTTTTAATTTATTATATTGTATATTTGTATTCATAGTATTGTTCATTTTTCATTAGGTTCGTAATTTTGTTTTCCAAGGGTCGCAAGTTTATGAGCCTTTGTTTATTAAGTGTTAACCCTCCCTAAATAAAGTCTTTATTATTATTATTATTATTATTATTATTATTATTATTGTTGTTGTTGTTGTTGTTGTTGTTACAGTTGTTCGCAAATGAATATATTTGAACTGCGGAAAAAGCCTGATATGAAGATATGATTGATCATCGCAGTTATACACACAACTTAAGCAGTTGTGAAATGAAAGCCTGAGAAAAAATTCAGGCTTGAACGGGATTCGAACCCATGACCTCTGCTATAGCGGTGAAGTGCTCTACCAACTGAGCTATCAAGCCAACTGGGAGCTGGTCAGATCGTGAGTTCGTAATATACCCGTAGATGATTGAAAAAGCAAATGAACATATGACAGATCATATATTTGAACTGCGGAGAGTTAGGCCTGAAGGGGATTCGAGCCCATGACCTCTGCGATAGGTCATGGGTTCGAATCCCGTTCAGGCCTGAATTTTTTTCAGTCTTTAATTTCACAACCGCTTANTAGTTTATTTCTTTTACTTACTTTTACCTTGTATATACCAATTTGTATGGAATATGTTAATTAATGTTATGATGATGATAGTAGTATTAGTATTAGTTGTAGTAACCATGATATCATGACTAGATACGGAAACATGTTTTACAGGTTTAACAGACATCAAATTGTGTAAATATTATAGCATTTTGTAAAGCTTAGCTCCAGTTTTTGTTACAATAAACACTTATTATGCTTTATTTTTTTATTATTATCATCATCATCATTGTTGTTGTTGTTGTTGTTGTTGTTATTGTTGTTTGCAACTGAATATATGAAAGATCATATATTTGAACTGCGGAAAAAGATATGAAGACATGATTGATCATCGCAGTTATACACACAACTTAAGCAGTTGTGAAATGAAAGCTTGAGAAAAAAATTCAGGCCTGAACGGGATTCGAACCCATGACCTCTGCTATACCGGTGAAGTGCTCCACCAACTGAGCTATCAAGCCAACTGGGAGCTGGTCAGATCGTGAGTTCGTAATATACCCGTAGTTAATGAAAAATGCAAATGAACATATGAAAGATCATATATTTGAACTGCGGAGAAAGGTATGAAAACATGATTGATCTCGCAGTTATACACACAACTTAAACAGTTGTGCAATTAAAGCCTGAAGAAAAAAAAAAAAAAAATTCAGGCCTGAAGGGGATTCGAGCCCATGACCTCCGCGATAGGTCATGGGTTCGAATCCCGTTCAGGCCTGAATTTTTTTCAGTCTTTAATTTCACAACCGCTTAAGTTGTGTGCATAACTGCGATGATCAATCATGTCTTCATATTGTTGTTGTTGTTATTATTATCATTATTGTGATAAGAGGGGGTTACGTTAAGACGTTAAACCAATGCGACCTGGGCCAGATCCAGTGTAATCTTACTCAAGAAGGATAGGCCCGCTGCGATTCCAACCCACCCCCTCCTTCTTTGAAGAGGGAGGGAGGGAGTGGGTTCGAATCCCTCTTTGGAGAAGGGGAAGCCAAG